GCACCCTTCACATCTTTGCGCTATGTCACTGTCGGCGACCCGGGCGCATATTCGACGCAATGCTTCTCTAAGTTGTGATGCGCATTAATGCTGGCACGATCCTTTCGTTCACTAAAAGCTTTCGTATACCAGCGTGCACGCTCTCTCACCTAATACTTCCCTACCGCTTTTGCAATACGGTCCCCCCTCTGAAGACACATGGGTGCGTTCACCCGAAACTCTGTCGGCGAATGTCTGTAGGTCAGCGCAGCACACACTCGAACACGATGAACTGTATGCGATCTCCCTCCGTGCATACAGAGAGAGAGAATAAAATTTTGAAAGTGTTGGTTCAGGAAACTGTCCGAACCAGGAAAGCCCACGTAACTATGGCCCCAGCGACGCCTCCATTCACGCTGAAGAGAACCTACCTTCGCTCTGTTCCAGAGTGGAGGAAGGCCCGGGTAGAAAGCCACCGCCACCACGCCTGTTTGCTGCTAGAGAAGCGCCATACCGTAATGCACTATATCCCCCAAGCTCTTTCGTCCAGTGGTTCACACTCGAGCAGCTCTTGTTTGTGAAGTGCAACACAAAGTTAGTTGTAGACGGCGATTGTTTTGTCTCAATTTCCTTTGAACCAACCATTAAAATGCTGTCAAAATTCACAATTCTGGTTTTGAAAACTAAACGGTGAATCGCCCATTTAGCTCATAACATTGTGTGGCAAAATGTTAGAGGCGGCGTTTTGGCAAACCAAAACACCGCCTCTTTTTGTACCTTGTCCTGCTCGCGACCTTTTTGCAGCATTTAAAACTCACGAGGACGCTTAAGCACTTTTTATGACGCAAGTCTCGTGACCAAAGGACTAGTGAGCAATTCACAAGCATTCGGGAGATCAAGCCCTGGAAATCAGGCGTTCCTGAATTTCGATCTCGGAGTTGGTAGCAAGAACCTGTAGCAGAAACTTCTCTCGGTTCCTGCTACTCGTACTTGACGCATATCCATGTTCGCATCGCCACACAAAGAGGACATCGAGGAGGAATGTGTTTTGCTACATCCTTGATAGCTATTATTGTATTATTGCGCTCAAATTAGTCATATAGGCCTGAGTACATATTCTATCGAAGTCGAAGGTCACAAAGCATTCTTTAAATCCACCTTTATAGTTAGCCAAAGCCAAGAGTAGGCGTGGCGTAGAAGTGGGAAAAATCTGGTGGGAACAGTGCACGTATTTGTAAAAGAGAAACCGAGGCATAAGTTTACGCACAAACAAATCCAATATCCCTACCGATACTGAAGAGCGAAGTAAATTATCCCTGCAAATTGATTCCCATTGATACCTCCCGAAAGTGGTGAATACTCCATGCACCGCGTGATCTTTATCTCATGAGCAGTTTAGTATACCCGACACATGTAAATAAGCTTTTGCGACAAGAAAGACATTGCATAGCTGCGTAAAGGCAAACACAGTAGATTCTGCCCCCCTCCCCCTTGCCCCTTCTGCTTGCTATACGCCCTTGACAAGCTTGAGTGCTGACGAGCAGTGGGGCCCTGCAGGTGTTCCGTATTAGATGCGAAGGCACAAGGTGCTCGAGGGGTGGTGCACTGTTCCTACTAATACCTGTTTATGCGTTTCGTACCCCTTTAACGAACTTTAAGTAACACATTGGTACGTTTAAGCTTAAAAACAATATTAAAACATCACATTCCTTCAAACTTGCTCACTAAGCAAAATATATAGAGAGAGAGGCAGACCTGGTCCTATGGAAACGAGTCGAATGGTTGCACTGAGCGAGATAGGTCATCAAGCAGATGTCCCCATTTCCTACTATCCGTCGACCTTGGTAACATGTTTTGTGTACTTTTGCAGTTCTTAATGCATCTGGTGTCACAAGATTTATGGGGGTGTTCATTATTTGCTCAATAACACTTTCACAATGCATTTCATATCTTAAGTAATTACAGGAATAGAATTGAACTGCCTGGCCATTGCCGGAGTGAAAATAGGTTGTTTTTTTTTTCATTCCGAGCAATTGAAAGCAATGGAATTGCAGCAAGTCTTGATTCCCCGGAATCAAATTGGAATGAAATGGTGGTGCCCATTCCGCAACGCTGCTGGCAATGGCCTTAACATCCCTCTTCACAAGCCTACAGGGGCTTGATGAAACTGGCAGAAGACTGATGCAGGATAGCTGTGAGGTGCATGAGCCAGGGGGTACGTATATTCACATCTAAAAGACTGGACGTGCAGAATGGGCCCTTGTGGCAGGGGCGTAGCTAGGGGGTGGCACACAAGCACGTTCCCCCCCCCCCCACCCCAAAAATTTTTTTCGCCATGGCAAAAAATGGCCATTTTAAAAGGGTGCCCCTCCCGAAATCAAGGTGGCGTCCCCTCCTCCCCCCGAAAAAAATTCTGGCTACATGCCTGACTTGTGATGCCCTGATTTGGGTTTTGTGTCTATATTTGCATGACCAGTCTTTCAGAATGAAAACGCTAATTAGTATACTGCGTACATCGGTCATCTAGGATGAAACCAGCAGCTCCACGAAACGTAATGCGTTGGTTCTCAGCTTTTCCATTTGTTTTAGGCATCCTTGTACGAAAATCATTTTGGACATCATTTGCAAGTGAAGCCTGGTTTGGTAGATCTCGTCGGTGTACCTGAGCACGTTTGTTGCATACTTTGCCGGCGTGAGGGCTTTGTCGATCTCACCGTCTTTTAGCGGTTGAGCAACGCTGCCGGTAAGAAGAGCCCAAAGCGAACTCTTGCACCTTGGAGGAACTAGTGCGTCTATGACAAATACTGTAAAGTCCAGAAATATGCCTGCAAATCATGCCGCTATAAAGTCTAGAACCTCTCTGTAGCGTCATAGGCATCACTGCCTTCGTTCATATCCTCGAGGAAACTTAATTGGCGTTAGGAGTAATGAGGATCATTCGCTTCAATCGAGGACGAGAGCGAGGCTACGTCCAGCAGTCAACCATCACGACAACTTACTGGAGAGGTCATGAACCCTAGTGGTGAGGCGCTTGTGTTTATTAGAGGCGAAGCTCCTGAAGGCGTCACCCGATCGTCCTCTGTAGTAACCACCTCTCCTCAGTTCTTGAACCGGCCGTAAAGGGTGCTACTTGAACTATATAACCAATGCTAATACGCGGACAAATGCGAATGGTCCGACACCAGAAGGTGTTACTTGAAGAAAAAATAATGATGAAAGGTCAGTTTTATGAAAACAGGATTTACATCACAAGTACGGAAGGAGAGAGAGAGAGGGAGATGATTATTTGACTGCAATCACGTGTTCTTCGGCGGCGCCGTACGCCAGATGGCGCTCTATAGTAAAACAAAAGCGCCGTTTCAGCGCACGCGCGTTCAAAGGGCGCGCACAGGGCGGCGGCGGCTCGCGCTCGAAGAAGGAACTCCGATGCGAGAGCGCGCGAGGCAGCAGCCTGCCGTGAAGCCGCGTGGTGGCGGCTACAAAATCCAAATGTACGAGCGCCGGAGGCCGAAGCGGCGCGGCAGCGGCGCCAGGTCGCACGAGAAGCTGTACCTGGCACCCAATCTTTCAATCGAAGACGTCAAAAGGCTCATCGACCAGTCCATGCGCATATACGACAAGTCGAGACCGTTACTGCTCGTCGGCGACTTTAACTTCGACATATCGGACCCGAACAAACATTGGTTGATGCAATACATGACGAGCAGGTACGGACTCAGGTACATCTCTTTCGATTACTTCGATCACTAAACGACCATAAGGAGAACGTGCATCGAGGTGTTGTTTGCAAACTTTCACGTAAAATCAGTGCAAGAACCGCTTTCGGTGCGTTTCACCAACCATAAGGCGGTAATAATGAAGGCAAAACAAAAACCAGAAGAAATAAACGACACTGTTGAATAAACATTGTTTAATTACATTTTACTCACAAATTTCATTTAAGGTGTGGGGCGAGGTATCTAAATAGCAACAGCTTCGCCCCACTCTTCATCATTCACCCCATGGATATGCTATCATTTTTATTACTCATAATATTACCACTGGTAATATATTACAATAATAATAATGATATTATTATTATTATTATTATTATTATTATTATTATTATTATTATTATTATTATTAATATTATTATTATTATTATTATTATTATTATTATTATTATTATTATTATTATTATTATTATTATAAGCATGATCACGACTCTTAGATCACTTTTATAGAGGAAAGTATCTTTGACCGGTGGCTGGTAAGTTTCCCAAGTATATCCAAACGTGGTCTAGCACAACAGCTGAGAGCTTTCGATTATGGGACTCAAGTAGAAAACTAATCCAAACTATCGTTGAATATTTTGTTACCCATTTTTCACCCTTATATCGCACTCCAAGCACCGAACCTCAGACCAGATAAAAGCCCAAGGTAGTTCTTACATTCAGTGCTGTTATGTTTTGATAAAAAGCTCATCAGCGATTGTTTAATTAGACGCTTGAACTTGTCATTATGTGGGCCGAATATTCGGTGGAACCATAAACAAATATGAGCGTCCAGCTTCCTACCATCAAGCTCGAACTCATGGATAACTTACTGTACAGTGTTATGAGGACACTCTGTACGTGATCACCAGCCTGATCGTAAACTGCTTATGAACCCCCCCCCCCCTTTTTTTAGATGTAGAAATGACCACTGTGTAGGTGATTTGGCAGAAAAAAATTCTATATTCGCCGATATAGTGAACTGGCCATATAAAAATTTAATGGTCTCAACGCTGGCGACAACCTTCACTCATAGAGGCAAGCAACGATGCACAGTGCAATTGTCATGGGCACGGCGTGCGCTCCGTCAGCAAGCTCGAAGACGCACTCTGGCGTATCTTTGAGAACAGGTCGTAGCAACGTAAAAGCCGAGGTAAGTGTGGACAATGCGTGTGTATGGGGACGGGTGCAGAGACTTTGCTGACGAACGAAGCTGTGCGCCATGTTCAGCCGCCCTTTCAGGTTTTCAAGGGCGTGGTGGTGCCCTTGCTACTTGGCGCCGGCTTTGGGATCCGCAGCTTCGTTTCCACTTTTCTCGAACGGAAACGTAACGCTGTTGTCCCGTCTCGATGACAGCAGATCAGTTGCAGAAGCTGCGTTCGACACTCCCCGGTACATCGCCTGGATGTCCTCATGGTACAACTTCTGGATCTGTGTGCGTCGAATCTTGAGAGCTGCCGTCACTAACTCCGTCTCAGGCGTCCACACTTCCTTACAGAGTTTGTACTTGAGTGGAACTTCATACTTTACGAGGTTACCTATATCAAAAAATGTGGAAGCGAGGTCACGAAAGCCAGGCGCAAGTTTAGGAACACAGATGCACTTGTTAGGAAAATGGCAGAAACCTAGTTTGAAGCACCGTACGTCATTTTGTGCTCTGCGACTCTTTCGTTACGCAGACTTGTATCTTCCGCTCATGCAGCACGCTTGCGAGGCTTACTCATGGCCGAGTAAATGATTGAGTCGCATGGGTCTGCGTTTCACTTTGCCGTAAATGTGTAATTCTGTCGTTAATTATCTCTAATATATTTGAAAATACCTTTGGGTAAAAAAATAATCGCCAGGCCTGCGCGGCACAAAGAACTCAGTCATCGCGAAAGCTGTAACAGCATTCTTTGTAAGATTATCACTACGCCGTAAATCATCGCAATTCCTGTGAAGTAGGCAAGCGCCCACTACGCCATTATTCGTCATTCTGTGGAGAAGCGTGGCACCTGTTACACACCTGTAGGCATTATGGGAACTCTGCTTTGTGCTGTGCCTGATGATCATGAACTATGGCTGAGCCTTATATAGCGCGTTGAAAGCATTCGACTCAGTCGTTGTGCATTTTCGCATTATGTGACGTTTGGTTGTTATTGTATCTTCAACCACGCTACATTATAGATACGTAAACGTAATTGCTTGACTGACATTACGCCTCTATACTACAAGGTTTTTCGCAAAGAAGTTTCAAACCCCAACCCAAGGCTATGTGATAGAATACCTGAATTCCACATAAAGGACACGGGTTAAAATTATATCCGAGCCTAGAATTTTTTTTCTCATTTCGGTTTTCCTACTTTCGCGCGATAGCGGCTCCGGACACCAGCACCGGCGGACGACTATATGGCCCAAAAATCGGTGGTTGTTGTGATCTACCAAGAGCTTTCGTTGTAGTAAATCACAACACATGTACTGATAACCCGCATGTTAAGATTTTTGGGCATATTGCAGCATACAGTATGATAAAATTCTCATCAGTAAACTTACATCATCATCATCATCATCACATCATCATCAGCCTGACTACGTCCACTGCAGGACAAAGGCCTCTCCCAAGTTCCACCAGTTAACCTGGTCCTGTGCTTGCTGCTGCCAATTTATAGCCGCAAACTTCCTAATCTCATCTGCCCACTTAACCTTCTGTCTCCCCCTAATCCGCTTGCCTGATCTGGGAATCCAGTCAGTTACCCTTAATGACCAGCGGTTATCCTGTCTACGCGCTACATGCCCGGCCCATGTCCATTTCCTCTTCTTGATTTCAGCTATGATATCCTTAACCCCCGTTTGTTCCCCAATCCACTCTGCTTTCTTCTTGTCTCTTAAGGTTACACCTACCATTTTTCTTTCCATTGCTCGCTGCGTTGTCCTCAACTTAAGCTGAACCCTCTTTGTAAGTCTCCAGGTTTCTGCTCCGCAGCTAAGTACCGGCAAGATACAGCTGTTATATACCTTCCTTTTGAGGGATAGTGGCAATCTACTTGTCATAATTTCAGAGTGCTTGCCAAATTTGCGCCACCCTATTCTTATTCTTCTAGTTACTTCAAACTCGTGGTTTGGCTCCAAGGTCCTTAGGTACCTGCCCTAAGTAGACATAGTCTTTTTACAACTTGAAGTGCACCATTACCTATCTCGAAGCGCTGCTCTTTTCCGAGGTGGTTATACATTACTTTCGTTTTCTGCAGATTAATTTTAAAAGCCACTTTTCTGCTGTCCTTGTCTAACTCCGTAATCATGAGTTGCAATTCGTCCCCTGAGTTACTCAGCAATGCAATGTCATCGGCAAAGCGCAGGTTACTAAGCTACTCTCCATTAACTCTTATCCCCAACTGTTCCCATTCTGGGCTCCTGCAAACCTCCTGTAAGCACGTGGTAAATAGCATTGGGGAGATTGTGTCCCCCTGCCTTACACCCTTTTTGATTGGTATTCTGTTGCTTTCTTTATGAAGCACGAAGGTAGCAGTTGATCCCCTGTAGATTTCTTCCAGGATGTTTATATATACTTCATCGACGCCTTCCTGATTCCGCAGTGTCTGCATGACGGCTGATATTTCTACTGAATCAAACGCCTTTTCGTAATCTATGAAGGCTATGTATAGTGGTTGGTTACATTCTGAGCATTTCTCTATTACCTGATTGATAGTATGAATGTGGTCGATTGTTGAGTAGCCTGTACGAAATCCTGCTTGTTCCTTTGGTTGATTGAATTCTAATGTTTTCTTTATTCTGTTAGCAATTACCTTTGTAAATAGCTTGTATACTACAGAGAGCAAGCTGATCGGCCTGTAATTCTTCAAGTCCTTGTCATCTCATTTCTAATGTAATAAGATGATGTTAGCGCTCTTCCAAGACTCTGGTACTCTTCCCATCAGGAGACATTTCGTAAACAGGGTGGCTAGTTTTTCTAACACAATCTGTCCTCCATCTTTCAGCAGATCTGATGTTACCTGATCCTCACCAGCAGCTTTGCCTTTTTGCATGCTTTCCAAAGCTTTTCTGACTTCTATCATTACTGGTCGGGTGTCATCTGGGTTACTGCTAGTTGTTATAGTATTAAAGTCGTGGTTATCCCGGTTACTGTACAGATCTCTGTAAAATTCCTCCGCTATTTTTACTATCCTATCCATATTGGTTGTTATTTTGCCTTGTTCGTCCCTTAGTGCATACATCCGATTTTTGCCTATCCTAAGTTTCCCCTTCACTGCTTTGACGCTTCCTCCGTTTTTCAGAGCGTGTTCAATTCTCTCCATGTTATACCTTCTCACATCGCATACCTTACGCCTATTAATCAACTTTGAAAGCTCTGCCAGTTCTATTTTGTCTGTTGTACTTGAGACTCATGATTTGGCGCTTCTTAATGAGATAATTCGTTTCCTGAGAAAGCTTGCCAGTGTCCTGCCTAACTACCCTGCCTCCAACTTCCACTGCACACTCCGTAATGATACTCGTCAGATTATCATTCATTGTATCTACGCTAAGGTTGGTTTTCTCACTAATAGCCGTTCTGTTCTGAAGCGAGACTCTGAATTCCTGTACTTTCCCTCTCAGTGCTAGCTTATTGCGTATCTTGCGTATCAGTTTCTGTCGTTCCTTCTTCAAGTCTAGGCGAATTCGAGACCATACCATTCTATGGTCACTGCATCGTACCTTGCCAACCACTTCCACATGCTGCTCGATGCCTGTGTGTGCACTCATTATAAAGTCTATTTCGTTTTTATTTTCGTCATTAGGGCTTCTCCATGTCCACTTGCAGTTTCCTCGTTTTCGGTAAGAGGTATTCAAAATCCGTAAATTATTGCGGTCTGCGAATTCTACTAGCAGCTCTTTTCTGGCATTTCTAGTACCGATGCCTTAGTCTCCTACTGCCTGGTCTCCAGCCTGCTTCTTCCCTACCTTTGCATTAAAGTCTCCCATCAGTATAGTATACTGTGTTTTTACCTTACTCATTGCTGATTCCACGTCTTCATAGAAGCTTTCAACTGAAGCGTCATCAGGGCTGGATGTAGGTGAGTAAGCCTGCACCGCCTTCATCTTATATCTTTTATTCAGTTTAATTACAATACCTACCACCCTTTCTATAATGCTATAGTATTCCTCTATGTTGCCAGCAATGTTTCTGTGAATTATAAACCCCACTCCCAGTTTTCTTCTGTCAGCCAAGCCCTTATAGCAATGGACGTGCCCATCCTGTAGTACCGTATAAGCCTCATCTCTCCTCCTAACCTCACTGAGCCTTATTATATCCCATATAACCCCCTCTAGCTCCTCGAATAGAGGAGCTAAAGGGTGTTAAACTTATATGCACTTATATGCATGGACCCAAATCATTAGAAGTAAATATTCGGACATATATTAATGAAATACTATGCCATTCTTAGTTTCCTTGGATATATTTGTATTGGGAGCTTGCGAAATTCCTTAAGCAAGAAGTAACCAGCCTGCCGCCTTTTGTTTTGTTTTTAATACATGCTTTTCACAGCCAAAGACGGACGGAACGACGTACGTATGTACGGGCAAATGTATATATGCCCAGAGGTATAGGCGTCAGACGTACGTGCTTGCGCCACATAATAGGGTGTTGTAGTTACACTTTTACAGTTACTAGAAGCGTTCAGCGAACATCACCAGTGAGAATCCTAACGATAACATATATGATTTATGGCAAATAATTAACCATGTGCCTGTCACGAAAAAAAGAAAACTAAGCATCAACTTACTTTTAGTGCAGTGATTGGTCAGTTCATTTGTCACGGCATTGTGCAAAATGGGATTTTCGCAAAGCTGCGGCAAGCTTTCATTCTCAGCAATGGAAAGGGACTTTGCTGTCCTCTTCAGGGTTGCCTCATTTGGTTGGATCAAGGCAACGACGAACGTACACAGCGAGCTTCCACACACGCAGGCATTGTCAACCAGCGGATGTGTTTTCAACACCATTTCGATCTTGCCCAGCGACACGTACTCGCCGTTCTGCAACTTCACGAGGTCCTTCTTGCGGTCTGCAGCACAACAAGCGCACATAGTATGAGCCTCGACACCACATGTCTAACGCACCCTTTTGAAAAAAAAGAATGATATAGAAATTATACGTGCTAGCGCTACTAGTACCAATGCTAATGTGCTGCCAGTATTTTTCTCCCTATCATTAGGGGTGGCGGAGGTCTACCATTTGGGCTAAGTACTAATAAGATTTTCATTTTCCTCAACAAACTTTATTCTTGTACAAAAACCATGAAATAAGCATTGATGATAAGCTGATTTTATATGTTTATTGAAAAACGACCTCATGCAAGCAAATAGTGCGATCTTGAGCCAAAAACAGCATAACTTTATGGCTTTGCTATAGCTGAAGCTATATGTTACGTTGTGCGCAAAACGGCGAGCGTCTTTTTTTTCTGGCAGTTTCGCCAACACTGCAGTGGTGAAATTGGCAGAAGGTACACATTTAATGCCGCAGATACAGGTTTCGGTTGACAGTGCCGTCCTAAAAGGCACCGACTTTCTAATGGGTCAACGAGTACAGACATTACGCTCGGTGGTTATTTGGTACTCCTCGCCTTGAAATATGACCCCATAAAGGTGTCTCAAAGCCACCGGACGCACCTCAACATATTACAGCCTTTGTTAAATTGTCGAGCATCTGCATCTGCTTTCAGACGCAGAAAATTGCTGCAGCAGGGTATACGTATATAGGTTAAACAGGTGAAAGTGCACTTCCACTCAGGTGCTCGGCAAAAATAAGTCGTTTGGAAGGCCATCCGCCTTCTGAGTAGTTGGCGTCGTAGTACCGCCATACCTAAAAATTAGACCTCTTTTTTCATATTTTGTGCTCGAACTTACTACCAGCCTCCTGCCGACCACCTCCACCAATAATATATCCATCATACCGATTGTTTCGTATGCTATACAAATCGTAAGTGATGATTCGAGGTATTCGATATCGATTTGGTTTGCCGCGGTAATGTTAAAAGGACGAACATCTATTATGAGCCCAAAGCTTAGGTGATGCGGGTCTTAGTCCTTAAAAGGCTCCGCAAAAAAGACGAGCGCCCGGATGAACCCTTTAGTGGAGAGATATTTGTGCGCACGTACCAATAATCCGAAGGAGGCCTTTAGGCAGGAACTCGCCAATGTCTCCAGTATAGAACCAGCGCGTCTGGCCGTCATCCTTGAAGTTCTCCGCAGTAAGTTCTGGCTTCAAGTAGTAGCCTGCTGCCACAGTGGGACCCCCGACGACCACTTCGCCTCGTGGATACGGCCGGTCAGCTACGTGGTAGCCACCTGTGCCCGATAGAGTCCAGGATGTGAGAAGGAGTTGGAAATGTAATGTTGTCGCGATAGCAATTCTATGGACAATTTCGGCTGCATTTTGCCGCTGGCGTCAGCGTCGATGTCATGCACCGTATATGTATACGTACCTATATATGTATGAAAACGCAAGAAAGAAAAAATCCACAAAGAGTACTCCGGCGTACAGGATCGAACGTGGAACCTCTGCGTCATGAAAGTGAGGCGTTAACCACTGCGGGACACCGGAGCACATCCTTCACCGTTCAAACGGCAAGCTATTTATATCTACCACTTACCGCTGCTCACGAGTATCTAGGAGGAAATTGTGTTTTCAGTATTACCACCAAGATGGCGCAAAGAGCTGGCGTCGCCATATCCCACAGCGGCGCCCGCTCTAATCTACTATACGCGTACTTCGTCCGGCGACATAAGGGCGCGTGAGGTAGCGACGCTCCTTCACGCGCCCTAATCTCGCGGCGGCCAGGAGGGGAAGATTGGCGTTGGGCTTAACCTGGAACGATTCTGCTGTAGTTACCTGGTGCACAAAGGCCGCTGCAATCATTGCAGTCTGCGTTTGCGAAAAGCGCGCGCTTTTGAGACACAGCAAAGTAACAAATGAGACGCTCATTCACGTACACCCGTACCTGTGAGTACGTTTTATGCGTGAGGAACGCGGGGCATGTTTCGATCTGCTTTCAATTCTGCGCGTGACCTTTCAATTTGTTGCTATCGCATTCATTGCTTCACCTTTCTGGTAAAGCTGTGACTTTCTAAAACCCATTTCACTTATAGTAGAATAACTTACTCCTCCAAATGCAAAATTATACATCGCTCAAACCACCACAAGGAACTTGCAAAGTCATATAATAAAAAGAAAAAGACAGGCGACGATGTCGCCTTGAAGCTCACGAGCAAGTTCGTTGGCATCATAGACTTCACAAGCGTGTGCTATAGGCCGGTTAACGCATTGTTGATAAAGCTGGGCTACATTGTCGTCTGCACGAGTGAAAGAGTGAACATAACCAATCTCAGGTAGATTTACCACGGCTAGATGGTCAAAATAAAAAGGGAGATACATTAAAATCTGTCACGTCTCAGTGACATACCAGCATAGTAGTTATGGTCCAAAAATAAAAAAAAATGGAACTTTGACATTACCTATCTCTTGTGACAAATTATTAGTCTGGAAAGGAATATTTGACCAGTATAAACCAGATTAGCGTTTTTAGAAAACCTGTGTTGTAGTCAGACTGTACAAAACAAATACAGTCAAAACAAAGCATTTAGTCCATGTGAGATCAAGAAAGAACTTGAATGTCTCTCTCGCGAATTAAACGTCATCTTGAGCCTCACAAAGTTAACTAGTTTTTTTTTCTGGATAGGTTTAGCAGACAGGGCGCAAGATCATTTCAGTATTCTAAAGGCTCGTACAGTCAGAATAGTTTGCGAAAAAAAAAGAACAAGACATACTCGAACCACAAAAGTCTGAGTAACGTTAATGCTACGGCTCCTGCACAAACCTTGCTCAAGAAGTAAAGTGTGGAATTGGGCTAGTTGGTAATCTATTAATAAACTTCTCAGCGCAAAAATTTCAGACAACGAACGCAAGAGACGAGGATGAGTGCTGACTTTCGACTGATTTATTACTACTAAGATGCACATATATATGTTACAGAAAAGAATATAAGTTCACTTGCTGAAGCAAAAAAAAAACAAAAAGTCAAGAGGCTGAAAAGTGACCACGCATTTTTAGGAGCGAAGCTCCTTAGGTTCTGACGATGTTCGTTGTCGCCGTCATCGTCGTACCTCTCCGTCGGACCGAAACACACGTGTTACATATACCGTACATAGAACGTAAAGTCGCATATGGTCAAAAATAGACCGTACTCTGTCCGTGCAACTGCTCGTCCATCCGTCCACCCATCTATTCGTCCATCTATCTTTCCGTGCATCCATGCAGCGATTGGTCAGCCCGTGCATCTGTCCCTTCGTCCGTTCGTTCGTCAAGCCTTCCATTCATACATCTGTCCATCCGTCCGTCGGTCGATGCATGTGTCTGTTCCGTTCGTTCGTCCGCCTGTCTGTCCGCCTGTCCATATGCATGCGTCCATCAATCCGTGCATCTGTCTGGCCGTCCATTTGTGGGTACATTCGCCCATATGTACGTCCTTCATACTAGTTGATGACATCAACGTCGACATTATGGACCTTATAAGACCCAGCTTCGCTCCATCATCAGCATTCACTTCTTGGAACTGCAGCAATTTTTAAGTGTAATACTTTATTGTGATACTTTATTGAGGTCTTTAAATTACACAGGTGGCAAACCACTTTACTTTCTTTTGCGGTTATCCTGCACAGTCAAATAGAAAGGTGGAGCGACTCTAAAAAAGCTTCCTTTTGAATATTTTGTTTGCTAATAGCAATATGCCGGAAAGATTCCAGCTGATACCGATTCTCGACAATTATAAAGCATTGAATAAACGCATTGGATGAGACGCGTTTCGTTCCCCTTGTCTTCACTGTTGGACTCGCTCGCTGGATTTCATGCCGACCGGTTGTGCCGTCGCGATCTCCGACGTCAGCGTAGCTCTGGCCGACTGGACTTGCTCTACGCCATCTCCTGTTGCCGACAAGAGCTCTGGAAAGTGGTGCCACGTCCTCGGACTCCTGAAACTGTGTCCATCTGTCCTGTTTTCTTCTTACTTCCGTCGTTCGCCGTCCCTACGCCTCGCTTTCTCCTTTCTCTCTTTCTCTCTTTTTCTGTACCTTTTAATCCTATCCTTTTAATCCCTTTTCCACCCCATCTCTCGTGAGCTACTGTTGAGGTGCCCTCCGCCTGAGAGACAGTTACGTGGCTCACTTCTCTCTTCCTTTCAATTGAAATCACTTCCCCCCTGTTCGCTGTTGCTTATGTAAATTTTCTAATTTCTGCCTAATCAGTCTCGTAGCCGCGAGGAGTGGGCGAGTGCCAAGGGCCTGGTTTTCTCCCAGAATTCGGATAAGGCGGGGGGTAAAGAATAAATCAAGAAATTGGGGGTTTTTGAAGGCCTTCCAAAATTGCTCCCTCCCCCTCCCCCTGAAATATATTTCTGGCGACAGGCCTGCCGCTAATGTATATAAAGGATCATTCGCGCACACGGAATTGCGAGTTTCTCCTCTGGCATTGAAGCTTTTGACTTAACACATAGGTGACCTGCACGTGAAAGGGTACATGCTAACTGGGATCAATCGGCACATGCAGTTACGAAAGAGCAGAGTAGAACCATAACCATTTATAATAAAGTCTGTTCAAACCCTTACTCTTTCAAAGCCTTCCTACGAGAACGACTTCTCAACTGTATATGGTAGATGTTTTGTTCACGCTATATGACTTTCTAAGCGACTGTATGAACGCTATCTAGTCTTATGAACAATACGCGCATGTGAAAGCCGAAAAATTGACATTACTAAGTCTTTACTCCGGCCAGCCTCTCTGCCTTTTCGCTAATGAAATCTTTATTGAATCAAACTAAATTTCAATGGCGAACTCAATCCAACTACTTGCTCAAAAATCAAGCCTGTACAGTACTTATAAACGGTAAAGTTTACGATGTTACACACTCACGGCAATGGAGTTGCACGATAATTTAAGCGCATAACTTTTGTGAACTACAACTACTATAGTGTGTCTTGAACAAATACACGTAAATATTGCTCATTGCTCATACTCAAAGCACAAGCAAATTGCGACATTGGGGTCAAACGAAGGGCCAGGGAGTGCAAGACAACTGCTAAAAAGCGGCCATTTTTTGTGTACAACCGATGGCGCTATGCCGTAATGGCTCAACTGCGCTAAGACAAGGGACAACAGAACAAAAAAAAAAAGACAGCTCGTGCGCAGACTCACGACAAAAATTATGTCGCAGATGAGCCGTCGCATTATTATTCGGCTAACTGAAAATTTCAAGGACTATTCGTGTGATCATTTTCCGCACGTGGCAAAGCACTGCAGTGACCGTGAAAAGGACGCAAAGAAATAATGCATCCCTTTTCTGGTAAGAACTAGAGTTCTGTATCGAATACGTGGGAGCTCTTCAGGGCTTATCTGATAAAGAAAATGCGTGGGTGCGTCAGTGATTCGTGGACGCTGCTTATTGAGTGTGGGGTAGAATATCTAGACGTTATATTCCGATTAAGTGATAGAAGCAATAATTTGTGACCACATTCGACCAATGAGCTCCTGCTGTTATTTCATGCTGACTGCATACATGTCCAGTTTCACTCAATAAAATTTTAGTCGTGAGTCTGCGCACGTGCTGTGTTTTACTATCTTTGCTGTCTTTCATTAACACATTTAAGCCATTACGGAATGAACGTCAACCAACTAGCCCAACTTGACGCTCTTTTGTTCGCCCCATGCGCAGCATTAAAGTGTCATTGCCGTAAAATACAGCATTGAGATCTCATTATACAGACTTTAGATGCGGCATGGCTACCAAATAAAAGGTCTGCTTATGCAGTTTTGCTTTTGATGTTTTCAGTTACAATCACTGTCTCCGCCGTCAAAAGTATACTCATTTTGTACATATACAGCAGTAACGTTCTACTTGTCACGTGACATCTTATTGAACAGGTACCTCAAGCATGGCCGAATCGCCACACTAATTGATGAAGGGTAACTCGCGTTTCGTTTCTCTTGGCAATGGCATAACACACATGAAAGTAAACAACTATGTTTTCCTTGCCGTTTTGCTTACCCTCTTCCCAGTCGACAAGCTTTATTTGTACTCCGTTCAGCGGAGGCCCAACCACTCCAACCGTCAGGTCATATACTGGAAAACAGGAAACTTGTAATTGTCATAGCAATTTCTGACACGAAAAATTCTAGCTTAATTATTTAATAAATTGAGTAGGAATTGCACCACTCAGACTTATGACGGAGCCCAAAAAGGAGGAGCACATGGCAAGAAATTGTTTATTGTCCACGTCCTCCCCTGATAGCATGACTGCCCAATGGTGTCCTTGAATTCAAAACAACAGAGCAGCCAAGGGTGTGGATTTTCACGTTCCGCTCTGTCACCTAAGGCCGTGTAAGAGGCGGCTGTTCTAAGTTGCCACTGCGGACAAGCGCTAAGGGCGTGATTGCAAGTGTTCATACTTGACTTTTCTGCTCTACTTCATGACGTGTAAGGATCTCAGCACACCGGGCAGTGAATGCTGAGCTAAGTTTGCTTACCACATAGATAAACGTGGTTCAACATGCTAAATAGCATAAGCGGACGCACCGGCGCAGTGGTGTTTTCGACATTAACATTGCAGCGGCTTGCATTGCAAGTGCGAGTACGTAGTCATTTTGTACACTGTTTAAGGGTGTTTTTATCACCAAATTATATGCGTAACTGTATTAGAAGTCACACAAGAAGGTTCTGAACTTTCGAAAAGCGTGCAGGGACGTACCTCTAAGTTTGCTGCTTGTGCAAGATATTTCAACAAAATACTTCGCATACGATCGCACTGCTAACTTGTAGTACATCTTAATGGATCCTGTAATTTCATGGGACGAAACTAGGCCACCTCTAAGGTGTAAGACGTGTAAACTGTTTTCGTTTTTGAGAAAAGTACATCTAATTGATCCTCTTTCTCAGCTCACAGCAAAACATTTGGCATATCAATACCAAATTGTTTCAAAAGCTGTTGGGCACAAACAGCACTAAATGAAGACCAAAAGCTTTCCTCCTCAGCAAGCGAATGTTCACAGTAAGATGTAAAACGTTTCTGAAATATAAAGCTGAAACAAACATGACCCATTGAACCTATACTATAAACCCTAACTCTGTACCTGACACAAGCGTTATACCTTGTATACACCCCAACTACTTAGTACGTATACGCTCGCTATAGCTTCGTTAGAGCAGCTCAAAGGACACAATGAGAAGTCGTTGTTAATGTAACGTCTACTTTAAGCTTCTTAATGACACTACGGCATCTGTCGTTTAAATATATGCATAAAAATGTAGTTCTTCTGTCGGTCTCGGTTTAACATGAATCCCGCGCTAAATGTTACGCCAAAGTCCTTATTACGTACGTCTTGGTGTAGATTCTAAATCTCAATTCTAAGCTTAAATGTAGCTCCACTTGCGCGATGCCCGAGAATGTGAATAACACGAACAACCCGATGATTCCATTGAAAATCACGCTCTCTGCATCACGGCATCGAACCCAACCTTGTGTGTCAGAAGTGTTTTGCATAATTTTAGCGAAGTTATCATCATTATTTTTTGGTTATTTTCATAGTTTATGTTATCTTAGAGTTAGCTCATTTTGTACTGATTTTGAGCACTGTATGTTTTGTTTTACGCTTTCATTGACTGATACATTTGATGGACGACAAGGCGGGCCCCTGCAGTGCCACGCACTTAAAGGATGGCAATCGGCAACCTCACTCGAATGAGCTTTGGTCGCTAAAGCCATAGCGCAATATTGATAGAGTCCTAAGTTAAATATTGCTCGAGCTCATTTGAAGATTCTGATTGAAACACTCCTTTAAACTGATGACTCCTCAACGTCAAATTCATCTGCGACAAGCATCTCGACTCCAGCTACCAGGACAAGACAAGAACGTTTGTGGCGCTTAGAAAAAACGGCATCCAACAGCGCCACTCTTGTTCCGGGATAACCTTTCTCTTGCGTGCTGCACATCTGATAATCTCTGGCTCGTAGAATCTAGGTTGCAGCCTTTCTCCAAATATCCTCACAACGAGGCATGTAGATTTTGATCTTGTAAGCTTCTTAGAATTCTAAGTAAATAATACAAACAAATGACGCAATATTACAGGGCACGCAAAAGCAGGAAAGGTGAACAACTTTTTTTATGATTGCGGCATCACAATAAAAGATCGCGCTACCGAGACCAAGAGGAAGGTGTGCCTTCTTTCCGTATGTTGATATGCGTGATAAACATGGGCAGACTACATAATGCTACGTTTCACGAGCGAAGACACGTTACATCAAGTGGTCAGAGAAAGCAGAGGCCCATACGATCTTGTAGCGTAGCTCCTGCCGTGGTCTCGGTGAGGCCGTAGCCCTGGAGCACGGGACAGTCAAGACAATTGCTGAGGAATTCCTGTGTTTCACTGGACAGCGGGGCCGATCCGGATACTAAAGCCCTCAGATGGCCACCGAGGATCTGCTTGGAGCCCCGGAAGATGATTCTGTGGACACACGAACCATTTTGCCACTGAGGTTGCCTTAGTACTGACCCACATTGCACTGTCTAAGAACGCCAGTTGGTAAGTTCTCTCGTCAGATGGCGCGCCGTCGCATCGGCATCGACCTCATGCTAAATAGTTACGCAACAATAAAAAAGCAAGACGCCCAGACTTGAGGCATATAAAATTACTACTTGATGCATGTATTTGGATACCAGCAATTTTATGCAAGTGTGTCAAGCGACCACGCTAACTGACATTGCATGTGTTCAGCCGATTCATCACTCACCAGTTATTCATCACGAGATTCATCACTCACCAGTTAGGAATGAGTGATGAATCTTTAGAAAGTTCTAATGCATGATTGTGATCGGAATTTTTTTACACTTGGCCGACTTTGAGCGTATCTGTCTGTCCGTCTGTCCGTCTGTCCGTCTGTCCGTCCGTCCGTCCGTCCGTCCGTCCGTCCGTCCGTCTGTCTGTCCGTCTGTCCGTCTGTCCGTCTGTCCGTCTGTCTGTCTGTCTGTCTGTCTGTCTGTCTGTCTGTCTGTCTAATAGAGTTTCCCAAAATTAACTAGAGGGCACTCTGGCGCTGCGATCGTTCAGCGACCATGGGAATGATGGGTAGTACACACATTTGCCCAGTCTTCGTACTTGCGGGCGGCGAATCGTACTTGCGGTTTTGTTTATTACTGGTTACGGTTTTTTCTTTGAAAGAAAGAACAAACCCTTTTGAAATTAGGGACTTGATTCGAAATAGTAAGCTTGCCCCGCCGCGGTGGTCTAGTGACTAAGGTACTCGGCTGCTGACCCGCAGGGCGCGGGTTCGAATCCCGGCTGCGGCGGCTGCATTTTCGATGGAGGCGGAAATGTTGTAGGTCCGTGTGCTTAGATTTGGGTGCACGTTAAAGAACCCCAGGTGGTCAAAATTTCCGGAGCCCTCCACTACGGCGTCTCTCATAATCATATCGTGGTTTTGGGACGGTAAACCCCACAAATCAATCAATCAATCAATCAATCAATCAATCGAAATAGTAAGCTTAAAAGAGTAAGGTTGTGAAGAGCGAACGTTGAACATTTGCTAGTTTATGTTTTCGTGAAAAAACAGCTCCAAGCCACACGGAGCCGGAAGCAAGCCAGAAGTACGAAAATTAGACAAATGTGTGTACTACCCATCATTCCCATGCTCGCTGAAGCGCCGTGTGTTGCAACTCCCATAGACACTAGCGCCAGAGTTCCCTCTAGTAAGTATTGTAGGAAACTCTTTGGTCCGTCCGTCCGTCCGTCTGTCTGTCTGTCTGTCTGTCTGTCTGTCTGTCTGTCTGTCTGTCCATCCGTCCATCGGTCTCTATCTATCTATCTATCTATCTATCTATCTATCTATCTATCTATCTATCTATCTATCTATCTATCTATCTGTCTGTCTGTCTGTCTGTCTGTCTGTCTGTCTGTCTGTCTGTCTGTCTGTCTGTCTGTCTGTCTGTCTGTCTGTACTGTCTGTCTTCTGTCTGTCCTGTCTTCTTATCTATCTATCTATCTATCTATCTATCTATCTATCTATCTATCTAGCTATCTATCTATCTATCTATCTATCTATCTATCTACTCTATCTATCTATAACTTTTAGCTCTCCTGGCCGTTTCGATAATGATAATAATACCAAAATTAGCACAGCATAACATGACAGTATTGCAAGCGTAAATGACTAGTTATAACAAAGAAATCATGACATGTATGTCATGATTTACATTTCGTGGTTGTGCTGCTCTTGCGGTGGTTTCGTTCACTCGACATGTTTCAAAACTGGTATGGTATGATATGACTGCATGGTGAACACAAGCGACAGACTCTAACACGGAAATCATGACATGCATGTCATATAACAGTATGACTACATTCCACAGTTATGATGCGCTCACGGCGATTTCGATAGTTTCACATATACCAAATTTAGTATTACGAGACTGAATGAATGACGAAGATATGTGTCTGGTGCAAACATGATTATATTATATTATATTATACTATAATATATTATAATATAATATATTATAATTTATATAAACGTCTTTCAGAGCATGTATCCTCAAACATTCGCCGTGACGCAGATGATAGTGCTTTATAGGACGTGATCATTTCGGCAGGTGACGAAAAGCGTTTGAATGGTTTCTTTACCTCGTTTTATGCTTGGCGCGAAAAATGAAAAATGAGCATTACTTTCAAAAAGACTGGTCTTCTGTCATTTACAAAAAAAGTAATGCCGGTTATTACAACATACTCTTTCAATAGTGTCTCTTTAGTCAGCATTATGCAGCACAAATATCTTGGTGTCAAAGTCACTCATGATATTTCTTGGTTTACTCATATTGCCTTAATATGTTCCAAAGCCTTGAAACAAATAAGATATCTTCATCGAACCATGCAGAGCCTCAAAAAGATATTAAACTTTCATGGTATAAATAGCTTGTTCGCCCTGTCATCCACTGTGCCTCCACGGTGTGGTCACCTTACAGACAATGTGACATAATCAGACCAGAAGCAGTTCAAAAGATAGCTGCCCGTTTTATTTTTCGCCGGCACGACCGCTATCTTCTCACCATCATTAGCATTACATGAGCTAAAGCTGGAACCTCTTTCGGTACGTCGTGATGTATAACCATTAAAAATTTTGTACAACATAATCAACCATTCATATCGCATTTCAAACAGAGCCTTTTTGTCATTTTCTCAGCCTTCCTCTGCCCGTAACTTCCACGAGGTCAACATTGCTGTTTTTTTTTTTTTGCAGTCACAGATACATTTCAGTATAGTTTTTTTCCCCGAACAATAAAATTATAGAATTCCTTCCCTGGTCACATTCGATCGCTCCCCCTGAATAATTATATTACTATTCTTGTTGAAAATGATTATGTAAAAAATCCTAATACCTTAATTGTTCTCAATGTGTTTTATTGTTATTTTGTTACTTCTCATGTATCTTTTCTTATGCGATTTTTTTTTTGCATTGTATAACCCCACTCCTGCAATAGCCCTTTTACAGGGATTCGGTTGGTAAACTAAGTATATAAATATATAAATATACCAAATTTTGTATTACGGGACTCAAATGGACGACGAAGGTATGTGACTGGCGCAAACATGATAATCACTAGATGCATTTCATGTAATAACATGACAACATGCCTCGCACATGATGCGCTCGCAGCCGTTTCGCTAGCTTAACAAATATCAATTTTGGTACTACATGACGTGTATGAACAACACAGGTAAATGACATGTCAAAACATGATAATCTTGGGATGCGTGTCATGTAAAACATGACTACATGCTACACTTAGCGCGCTCGCGGCTGTTTTGCTCGCTCAACATATCCCAAATTAAGTATCACGTGATGTGAATAGACGACGAAGATAAATGACATGTCCAAACATGATAATCATGACAGGTAAATCATGTACGTCATAATTTACCTCCACTTCCTAACAGTGTGCTCACTTTAAAGTGGCATACCAACCTTCCTCATTTGTGCTTCCCACAGTACGTGGGATCTGCGAAGTGCTTTTCTGGTCGAATTGTATACAAAACGCATAAGCTGTGCACCAGACTTCGTACAGTAGGCGTTAAAAAAAAGTGATTAACGGCTTCTAGGACCTATAGGCACTATGTAAGGTTAATGTTTGTCTGATAATGCGTATGCATCCATACGTAACACTTGCGGCTATATGTTGAAAGTACATAAGTATTTACGTGTCCATGATGAGCATGTTACAGAGCCCGTTGCCACACGACACTTCATTCACGCATACTCTACAACAAAATGCAGTCAATATTTGGCAACGCTCACAAACCAGGCTAAGCTGATGCTGACAAAGGCGCAGAATCACGAATTGGGTGAGTTGGTGGATGCTCATCGTGGAATATTTTACAGCGCAACAGTTTAGATTCGGAAAGAGAAAGGACACAGCGCTGACGCCCAACACATCTGCTCGTGTGCACAGTTTCGATGACTCATTGTCTCCTATATATGTGTGCTTTCTTTCTCCAAATAAATTTCAGTTCAGCGCTGTGTCCCTTCCCTGTCCATATCGAACCCGTTGCGCTGTAAAATATTCCACGGCTAACAAAGACGACAGACGGGATGTACACGTGTTTTTGAGTGTGTATAAAACAGTTCACGTATTGAAACGTTACAGTTTAGACAAAGCAATTTCGAAAGCAGCTTCCTATTACTTTTTTGTTCTTCCTAAACACATTTCAGAGACCACGTATCAAGTTATTTCCTTTAAAAACATCCTTTCCCTTATTCACAAGACCCTGTTGCGCTAGACCTCTTCACTTGGATAAAGGCATTCGGCTGTCCGCTATACGGCAACTTGTTGAAGTGCACAGCAGCGACGGGCGCAAGCTAACGGGGTCAGCTGTTATGTTTACTGGAGAACTGGCGGCCACGTCAGCCACTTCCTCGAACAGCAATTGCAACATAGAGCGTACCGGTTCAAAATGGGAGTAGTGAATCCTTTCTTTTTCCAGTAAGATTTGTAGGTTTGGGCGAAGGCAAACACCTCTTGCAGAATAGGACTCTTTTTTGACAATTCCTGCTCAATGGCCTTGCGGATGCGATTCAGCAACAGCTGCGAAGAACGTGGAAGTCAGCCCGTCAAGCTCACCAGGTCCCAATGAAACATTTCTTTATACACTATATGTTATTACACACTGTCCAAGAAACGTTCTACCATGAATTTCAAACCTGTTCGTAATTGGAAGGACTCCATCAAATGCTGAAACCAATGCTGAAAGGACACAAACAATATATATATATATATATATATATATATATATATATATATATATATATATATATATATATATATATATATATATATATATATATATACTTTAGTGCTTGTTTTTCTGTGTTTGACACAATATTATTGAGATCAAACAGACAATAGTGCCAAGGAAAGTATAGGGGAAGTTATTAGATCGCTTGTAATGTAAATGTAAAGAACGAAAAGTGGGTGAAAAGACAACTTTCCGTGAGCAGGAACCGAACATGCGACCTTCGAATGAAGCGTTCGATGCTCAACCACTGAGCTATTACGACGGCTTTCACGCCACCCACATTATTAGGTTTATATGTGAGTTTAAACGTGGAAGTGTCAGTCAGCGCCACCTGTAGCCATGGCGGCGAGTGTGGCACACTGTTCGTAGCACGTGAACTTTTTACAAACTGGCAGCTGACTATTAGTCTCTCGTATGCAATATATATATATATATATATATATATATATATATATATATATATATATATATATATATATAGCTCGTCCCATATACCGAAGATCAGGAGCCCTGTCTGTCTCCTTCAAGTGACCAGCTACGCCTAAGCTTTTTTTCTTTCTCTTACTGTTTCCTTTCGCGGTGCATCTTGAATGGTGATATAGTGCGTTTCACAATGGATGATTAATCAAAGCCATGTGGGGTGTGAAGAGTTGCGAAAGACATTCTTAAGTGCCTGCATTACTCTCGATCAAAGCACTCCTGCGTCAAATGGAAGGACGCACGACCCTCTGTTCGATATTTAGACCGCTTACGCCGTGCAGCCTCTTCATATACTACAGAAAGATCATCACAGACTGATTTCGGTGCATATATTTCTTCGCACTGCCCTAACCTTGAAAGGCAAACCTTAACGTCTCTTTTTGGTCTCCAAGCTTCTCCTCACGTACTGATAGATTTTGAAGTGTGTTTGTGACATTTTTTTCTACCATCTTGATTTGTCTGCGGTTACATACAATGATCGCACATGCATGTTCTAATAAGCTTCAATGACAGCACGTGCCATCACATGCCTTTCATGTACTATGTGATTTACATGTCACGCTCATGGTGTGCTCGCGTCGGTTTCACGATCTGGATATATGAAAACAATTCTACGGTAAATGTGGCTGTATGAATAACATAAATGAGAGATGGCAAAATGAATATTAGAAAATCCATGTCATGTAGAACACGATTTCATGCTCCTGGTGCGCTTGCAGTCAGTTCGCTAGCTTGATCTCCACCAAACTTCGTACCGCGTGACGTGACTACATGATGAACATAAATGACGAATGGTAAACTCAAGAACATGATATTCATGTCATGTACAACACGATTTACAAGCAAGACTCATGGTGTGCTCACGGCTGTTTCGCTTGCTTGATATACGCCAAGTTTGGTACTGCGTGACGCGACTGTATGACGAACATACAGGGCCAGTGGCAATATGAAAATCATAAGATTCATATCATGTCGGCATGACTTAATTGATGCCGTGTTTATGATCGCCCTGCGGGTGTTGTCTAGCTTGATATCATCATCATCATCTACGCCCTCTGCAGGACAAAGGCCACTCTCATGTTCTGCCAGCCAACTCGGTCCTATGCTTGCTGCTCCCACTTAATACCCACAAACTTCCTAATCTCATCTGCCCACCTAACCTTTTGTCTCCCCTCACCCGCTTGCCTTTTCTGGGAATCGAGTCATTTACACTTAATGACCAACAATTAATATATATGTGGGGTTTACGTCCATAAATCACCATATGATTATGAGAGACGCCGTAGTGGAGGGCTCCGAAAATTTCGACCACCTGGGGTTCATTAACGTGCGCCCAAACCTGACCACATGGGCCTACAACATTTCCGCCTGCATCGGAAATGCAGCCGCATCCGCCGCCGGCATTTGATTCCTCGACCTCCGGGTCAGCAGCCGAGTACCTTAGCCACTTGACTACCGCGGCGGGGCTTAATGACCAACGGTTATACTCCCTACGCGCTACGAGCCTAAACAATTTCCATTAATTTTTCTGGTGCGCTCGCGGCCGTTTCGCTAGTTTGATATACATCAAAACTGTCAATGCGCGAAGTGGCTGCATGACGAACATGAATGGCAGGTGGGAACGTGAAAACCATGGCATGCGTTACATGTTACATCATAATTTACATGCGATGCTCGTGGAACACTTGCCGTGGGCCCGCTATAGCTTGATATACCACAAAATTGGTATTGCGTAATGTGACTGTATAGCGAACGCCGACTAAAAGTAGTGTGGCATCAAAATCATGACATTCATGTCATTTACGGCATGTATTATATGTACCTCTTATGTGCACTCGCGGCCATTTCGCTAGCTAGATATACATCAAACTTAGTAATGCGTGACCTGACTGATGACGCAAATCCAATACATGTCATCAAATGTAAATCGTGTCATGCATGTTGTGTACACCATCATTTGCCCTTAGCTGGCTGCTTTGAATTGCATCGATTCCCATAATCAGTGGGATCTGCCGTTTATTTTGTCTATGTAGTATAAGCACTTTCGGCACTGGTTTCATTTGAAAGAGCGCCCTTGTGGCAGAAAACACCCCTCTCCTCAACATGTTCAGTAAAACGCTATATCCTTTAGCTAGTGTAGATAGGGAACCAGTCGTGCCTTTACACTTCTTATGCTATAAACATTCGTGCACCCACTGTAGCCCACGCGGATGATTATTAGCTAGCGGCATAAACGGAGGCCCCAATAAAATTGATGCCTACAAAGTGTGATAACCTGTAGATAAATCGTGGGACGTTAGACATGACGGTCTATCTATAGATCCATGTTCGCACTTTTCTTCAGTACTCAAAACAAACTGATGCAGCGTACTTTGGCACAAAACAAGTTATTGCTGACAATAAATAATCCAAGGTAAATTTGGATAAAATTGCCGATGATTGCTCTTTTTTTTACTTCAAGTGCAAGCACTCACAAATATTCGATGTTTTCAGATATTTTAGAATTAGCCCCTACAGTAAACGCATTGCAGTATATCTGACGCTAAAAGCATTCTACTACATGTCTAACATGCTGAAAAGAAAGCAGAGAAATGTTTTTCAACTTTAAAAAGTATTAATAGGAAACAAAAAATATACGCAAAAACTGCCCACTTTTACCCTCTGGGGTAGACAGCCAACTTTTTCATCTTTTTTTTTTTGTTCCCAAGTTCTATGTACAGTACGGTCCACTGTTAGGACGAAACCCCATAAATGCGAAAATGCCCGCGATAGTGACGAGTGCTGCTATGAGCGACGAAACAAGGCATTCGCGCGACGTGTCGCGCGGTAGTTTTCGCGCGATCGCTCGGTTCTCCAGATTCGGAAACCGTGCGAAAAGCGCCGGAACAGGATGTACATGACTGACGTAACTGCCGGTTCTCTCCATGTGACGGGAAACCACCACCTCCTCTCATGCTCCTCTCCACCCGAGTCACGTGTGCACGACGAAGGAATAACGCAATGTTTATGCACGTTCCCATAAAGTAAGTGCTGCAAGGCAATAATAAACCCCTTCCGTTCCATTATAAAACAACACATTTCATTTTTACATTGAATATTGCCAACTACGCGGAATTTTTGCTACAAGTAGACGGCCTCACGCCTGCAACAGTTGAGTTCACTTGCCGAAGCCGTCGCGTGACTGAGGTTTGCCTGAGCAAGCGACTGTTCGCGCGAAGGCAATCTACGTCGCGTCGCTCGTCGCTGTCACGAGCATTTTCGCGGTAATGGGGCTTGGCCCTTGGGGGGAACACGCAAACGCGTGGCCACGTGGCGCAAACTGGTGACGGGATTTGTAAACGTGGCGCACGCTCATAAAAGCGCGAAGGCGGCGCTTGTCGGATTTCGTCTGCTACTTTCCGCTCCTGCGCTTGCCGAGCACTTTCGTTTTAGGGGCGAAGCTCGTTAGGGCGTGGGCTGTGCGTCCCCTGTATGTAGCCACCTCTAGTTTAGTTCTTGCAGTGTTCACTAGATGGCGGTACCGTCCCCTGTATGTAGCCACCTCTAGTTTAGTTCTTGCAGTGTTCACTAGATGGCGGTACCGTCTCCTGTATGTAGCCACCTCTCGTTTAGTTCTTGTAGTGTTTACTAGATGGTGGTACTTGTAGCTGATGATGAAAAGATGCAAGATGTTATAAACTAGAAAGCGGTACTTGTAGTTGATGAAAGACGCGAGATCTTATAAAATAGGAATGATGTCACATATGGCGCGTGTCATTGGTTGAAGGCAATCGTTCGATTTAGTGCGGCGACGTACGCTAGGGGGAGCGATGTAATAAAATCGAGTGGGCAAAATGTACAGAGGATTCATGGTTTACCAGGTTTACCTCCGGAGCTTCGCCCACTCATCATCATTCACTTCGTGGATATGGCGGCACTTTTTTTCCGCAGAGCGATTCATGCCCCCGCTGGTCTGCCGCCGCCCCGTCATGTAGTCAGTATCCAACCTTTTTCTTGTGTGATATCTTGCCAGTTTTGAAACGATGCGATTAACAACCACAGCGGTGAAAGCCGTGCGATTATATTTAGAAGCATGTAATAAACACTTATTAGTAAGAAATGTTGGAATTGAACACCGCAGAATAGCGGTACGATTATGAGTGACACAGTTGAAGGCTCCTGAAATTTCAACCACCTGGGATTGCAATCAAACTACACTGGCCTCGAATATTCCAGCCTTCACTGATAATGCGGCTGCCACGACCGGAATTTTTTCCCGTGACCTTAGGCTAGCTCTCGAGTAACATAACCCCTATACCATCGTGGTGAG